AGGGATGAAATTTAACACTGCCTCAGTGAGATCAGAGATTAAAGTATATCTCCCTTTGAAGGCAGTTGTACAGCAGTTGTTACATTGATGACTGTATCGGCGCCGCCTCGTGCTCCCACGAGGAGCTCGAACAGTTCATACACTTCACTAACACCTTCCACCCCAACCTTAAGTTTACCTGGACCATCTCTAACACCTCTCTCCCCTTCCTGGACCTCTCTGTCTCCATATCGGGCAACCACCTAGAAACCGATATTCATTTCAAGCCCACCGACTCCCACAGCTACCTAGAATACTCCTCCTCCCACCCACCTTCCTGCAAAAATGCTATCCCCTATTCCCAATTCCTTCGCCTCCGCCGCATCTGCTCCCAGGATGAGGCATTCCACTCCCGTACATCTCAGTTGTCCTCGTTTTTCAAGGACCGTAACTTCCCCTCCTCGGTGGTCGAGAACGCCCTCAACCGTGTCTCCCACATCTCCCGCACCTCATCCCTCACACCCCGTCCACGCAATAAGAACCAAAAAAGAATCCCCCTCGTCCTCACGTACCACCCCACCAACCTCCGGATCCAACGCATCATCCTCCGACACTTCCGCCATCTGCAATCCGACCCCACCACCAAAGACATCTTTCCCTCCCCACCTTTATCTGCTTTCCGGAGGGACAACTCTCTCCGTGACTCCCTTGTCCGCTCCACACTCCCCTCCAGCTCCACCACACCCGGCACTTTTCCCTGCAACCGCAGGAAGTGCTACACCTGCCCCCATACCTCCTCCCTCACCCCCATCCCAGGCCCCAAGAAGACTTTCCACATCAAGCAGATGTTCACCTGCACATCTGCCAATGTGGTATACTGCATCCGCTGTACCCGGTGTGGCTTCCTCTACATCGGGGAAACCAAGCGGAGACTCGGGGACCGCTTTGCAGAACACCTACGCTCGGTTCGCAACAAACAACTGCACCTCCCAGTCGCGAACCATTTCAACTCCCCCTCCCATTCCTCAGACGACATGTCCATCCTGGGCCTCCTGCAGTGCCACAACGATGCCACCCGAAGGTTGCAGGAACAGCAACTCATATTCCGCTTGGGAACCCTGCAGCCCAATGGTATCAATGTGGATTTCACAAGTTTCAAAATCTCCCCTCCCCCTACCGCATCCCAAAACCAGTCCAGCTCGTCCCTGCCTCCCTAACCTGTTCTTCCTCCCACCTATCCCCTCCTCCCACCTCAAGCCGCACCTCCATCTCCTACCGACCAACCTCATCCCGCCCCCTTGATCTGTCCGTCCTCCCTGGACTGACCTATCCCCTTCCTAACTCCCTACCTACACTCACCTTTACTGGCTCCATCCCCGCCTCTTCGACCTGTTTGTTTCCTCTCCACCTATCCTCTCCTCTATCCCTCTTCTATCCGCCTCCCACTTTCTCCCTATTTATTTCAGAACCCCCTTCCCCTCCCCCTTTTCTGATGAAGGGTCTAGGCCCGAAACGTCAGCCTCTCTGCTCCTATGATGATGCTTGGCCTGCTGTGTTCATCCAGCCCTGCACCTTGTTGTCTCGGATTCTCCAGCATCTGCAGTTCCTACTATCTCTGAGGGTACTATGTGTCTGGAACTCAGTGCTTGAACATGGGCTAAAGGCAAGAGCTCTCAAAGCATCTTAACCAACTGGAGATTTTACTCAACATGCCATAGCCCACAAGGTTAGGCACTAAGAGCTGGGAAATCAGGTTAGGGTGCAAAGCTGCTATTTACTTGGCACCAACATGGCAGAGGATGGTGGGGGAGGGTTGTTGTTCAGACTGGAAGCCTGTAACCAATGGTATGCCACAAGGATCGGTGTTGGATCCACTGCTTTGCATCATTTCTAAACGATTTGCATGCGAATGTAGAAGGTATGGTTACTGAGTTTGCAGACGACACCAAAATTGGAGGTGTAGTGGACAGCAAAGAAGGTTACCTCAGAGTATGATGGGATCTTGATCAGATGGGCCAATGGACCAAGGAGTGACAGATGGAGTTTAATTTAGATAAATGTGAGGTGCTGCATTTTGGAAAGGCAAATGAGGGCAGGGCTTATACACTTAATGGTAGGGTCTTGGGGAGTGTTGCCAAACAAAGAGACTTTGGAGTGTAGATGCATTAAGGGATGATCTGATTGTCATCTTCAAGATATTACTAGGAAAAGATGGGATAGATAAAAATAAACTATTCCCACGGGTTCCGTAGGGATTTTGAAAGTTAGTTGTAAGTGAATTGGGAGATAGTTTTTATTTTCCAGGGTGATCTATAGAGCCTAGTTTAGGATTGGGACATGGATGTAGGATTCATGTGGTGGGTAATATGGAGAACTGGAATTGATTTGGTCGAACCATGTGAGATGGCCTGGTGAAAGATTGAGGGTTGGAGAGCTAACGTGGAGGGAGACATTGACGGGAAATCAGAAAGCAGTGAACCTGGAGAAGAGGGAACACAATAAGTTGGAGGTCAAATTGAGATCGCTGAGGATTAGAACTTTTTTTTTCTTTATTCATTCACAGGATGAGGACGTTGCTGACCAGGCAGCATTTATTGTCCATAGTTCAGAGTCAATCACATTGCTGTGGGTCTGGAGTCACATGTAGGCCAGACCAGATAAGGATGGCAGTTTCCCTCCCTAAAAGACATGATTGAACCAGATGGGTTTTTCCCAACAATCGGGAAATGGATTCACAGTCAATGTTAGATTCTTAATTCTGGATATTTCTTGAATTTAAATTCCACTATCTGCCATGGCGGGATTTGAACCTGGATCCCTGGATTAACAGTCCAGTAATAATACCACTAGGCCATCACATCCCCTTTACAGAAACTGAACAGATGATTTTATAGGTGGTTGTAAAGTCCCCCTGTGCCTGCTTAAAATGACATCTTTTTAATGTCTTGTTCAGTGATGGGTAGTTGGATATAACCACTGGCCAAATCCAGACTGCAGACATACTTTGGGAACTTGCAATGCTCCCTCGGTGCGAAGTGGTGAGTGAGCCTCCGAATGAGGCTTTGTGATGAGTGCTCAGTAATCAGCACAGATCCTCAGTTTTCTGCCTGCCTTCCTCACTGAGGTTTATGGGGAGGCGTACAGACTTGATGACTTTCAGATGACACCTCACTCCAACAACTTCTGCAGGTCATCCCAGACTTCCTCCCAGTGATGGGACAGGATCCAGTGGTTACTGGATAGTCATCATTCATCACAATCCTGTGGCTCACCAGATCACATCACCCACTGTCACCAACATCTCCACTGAAAGTCATTCTGTATTTGGTGAGAATAGAAAGAAGCTGCTTCTTCTGGGTCAACTCCAACCCTTCAATGTGCAGCTTTGAAGGGAGATTGGAGATCTGTCTATTGTCCATGACAGCCCCAGGTTTAAAGAAACCTGTGGGGGTTCCTGGTTTGAGATAAACATCTTTGTCACTGAAATTGGAGATCTGCCCAGTACCCTCCCAGTTTCTCCCTTTGTGACCAGGATTAATCCCAGAGTTACCCCATGTGACATGTGACACTTTAGTAAGGCCTGGTGTTGACCAGGTGCAGATGGCTGGATTGAGTTTTCCAGAGCAGTGATGGGGCAGCCAGATAAAAGAACTGCCCAATTTGCTGTTACATGAACAGTTTGAGGGTCCCGCACACTGATACGCCTTGAGCTCAAGGAGAAAGGTCAAAGAAACCTGAGGCCCATTGACTGACCTGGTAATGTGATGCTCTTGGCAGGTTCCATTCATGCTTTCCAAGGATCACTCAATATCTCTTACCACGTTCCACCCAAACACCAAGAGCATTTTCAAATTCCTTGCTTTCACTGGAGCATCGATTGGATCATGAAACCCCAAACTACGAAAAGTGTGATTGAGTACAGTCAGGGAATTGTCAATGTAGCTGTGACAGGAGGGGTCTGACCCCTGGGAAATAGAGACCAGGATGAGGGAAGAGACATCAATCAGCTCATACTCCTGAGTACAGAATAACTGGGGAGAAACAGGTAAGGGTTTGCTCTTGGGTCCATTAGATGCTTCGACCTTGCCATATTTCACACTCACAGTGGGGCAGGTCCCTATCGCTCTATAGAAGACTGAACCTCTTCCTGAAGGAACCTTACCCCTGGCCTGGCTCTCGGTGGAAGCTTTACCATGAGGTGAGATTGGTGCACTGGATGGGGGATTTGTGCCTGATGGCAGTGGTGGCCATGGTCATGAGGGGCAGCCCCTCGTTTGAAAACTCAGCCTCATCACCGCTTTGGGTCAGCCACTGTGGTTACCATGGAGATGGGCAGCCATCTGCTTCTCCAGCCTGAGGCCTACATTCCCACCTGCATTGACAGTCCCCTTCTCGATGGCAGCCTCTTTCCCAGCTGTTGGAGTCCAGTTTCTCCCCATGATCCTGATGATGCGATGCTGGGCAATTGAGGCAGGTCCCTGAGGAGCCTCTCAGCTCCGTTTGGAGGTTGCACATCCTTCACTGTTTCTGCAGACTGTCCTTCAGCAGCCTGACCCTGCTTACTCTGAAGGAGGGATCCAGGACGATGATACAATTGAGCAGCTCCACAGGCTCCAGGGACACGGACACCGGCTCCACCCCTTTGGCTTGTCCTCATCGAACCGCCGCTGTAGCTGTGACAAGCCGTCACTATCCCTTGTCAATACCTCACCTCTCCAGCTCAGGACTGCAGCATTCAAACAGCCCTGCTGAGATCCTGATGGGGGGCTAAAGAACAGTCCTCCTAACCCTGGGAGGGGCATCACTCCCAGTTTAACGGACTGAGCGATACAGGAAGGAACAACTCCATCTGCACTGAGCCTAGGAGACTGGGATACACAGGGGGCAGTGAGGGGGGTGAGGGTGGGGAGGCTTAGGATAAAAATTTCATCAATGTTCCTGCTTTCATTCGTACTTCCCTCCTGGGGCAGCTTCAGCGGGGGTCAGACAAAACGATGGTCAGACTTAAGGAGTTTTCTAGATCATCGTATGTGCTCAGTCAAGGCTCCAGTATAAAGACAGATCCATTGAGAGACAGACCCGTTGGATACCTGTAGGTAAAGCCAGGAATGGAAAGGGGGGTACATCAGGGTCCTGGGTCTTTGCTGGGCCAGCTGGGAGCAATGGGTGACCAAGAGCAGCTCATGCGGCCCCTGTTTTCTGTCCTGGCTCCTGTCTACAGGGATTTATGATAGGGAGGGAACATAGGAGCTGGAAGAGAAAGATTTATCCTCGTACAATACAGCCATCAGAGCCTGGGACCCAAGCTATGCCATACTATTCGAGGGACACTGCTCTCTCACTTCCCAAACAGAATGTTAGCCTGGCCTCATGCCAACTCTCTCACCTGAGTCACAAGGTCACTGGTTCGTGTCCCACTACAGGAGGAAGTCCCAGTTATTGAAGGAAGGGAGTCAGGTCCTTGGTACAGGAACCAGCCAAACAGTCCCAGTATTGACCTGCAGGGGCACTGCACTTTCAGAGTCGCTGCCTTTTACACACGAAGGTAAAACCAAACTCCCAGCGCTGTGCTGTCAGATAGGTGTAAAAGATCCCACAGATATTATCTCAAAGTAAAGCAGGACAGTTTCCCATAGGGCTAATACTTACCTTCTACTAAGTTCATTGAAAACATTAACTGCTATTTGTGGAATCTTGCTGGGTGTATTACCACAGTGAGTACAGTTCATAGCCATCCAGAGGCTGGCCAGGAAGATTGCTGCTTACCTGGAAACCTCTACGACCCCGGATTCCACGTTCCCCAACGGGTCCCATTTCCCCCTGTACAAATCAGAGTAAAAAGAGACAGAAATCAGGCAACAGCATCAATAGGCAGAGAAGGAGAGATACAGGAATACACACACATTATACACACAAGTACATTACAGAAATACACACAGCTACTAGCACAGGCACACACACACACACACACACTCACTCTCTCTCACACACACATACACACTCACACACACTCACTCTCTCTCACCCACACATACACACTCACACTCTCTCTCTCTCACACATACTCACACACACTCACTCTCTCTCTCTCTCACACACACACTCACACACACACACACTCTCTCTCTCTCACACACACACACACACACTCACAGATAAACAGACACAAACACTTACAGGTGTCCCAACAGGAATATATCCTCAATCAACACCGGCAAACAAAAACTCCTGTTTGTGGAGCTTGCTGGGTGCAATTTGGCTGCAGTGTATCTTATGTTACAGCACTGAGCACATTTGAAAAGTACCTAACTGGGCATTTTTATTTTTCTTTATTCATTCCTGGGATGTGGGCATCACTGGCTAGGTGATCACAGCATTTATTGCCCATCCTTAATTACCCAGAGAGCACTTAAGAGTCAGCCACATTGCTTTGGGTGTGGAGACACATGTAGGCCAGAATGGCAGTTTCCATCCCTGAATGATATTAATGAACCAGATGGGTTTTCCTGACAATGGATTCATGGTCATCATTAGATTCTTAATTCCAGATATTTATTGGTTACCAAATTTCAATTCCACCTTCTGCTGTGGTAGGATTTGAACCCTTTTACATTAACTGGGTCTCTGGATTAACAGTCCAGCGATGGTACCACTAGGCTATTGCTTACCCTTATGGTGTGAAGGCCTTTGGGATGTCTTATGGTTATGCAAGGTGCTATTTAAATACACGTTATTTCATTCTTATATAAGTTCCCAGGTACATGTGTAAATACAGACAAAGGTACACTTAGGTAATGCATTGGTAATCCTGTAGTGGAGGAGCTATAGACCCAAATACAAAAGGGTTTTAATCTTTGTGGCTTCGCTTTGCAGAACACCTATGCTCGGTTCGCAACAAACAACTGCACCTCCCAGTCGCGAACCATTTCAACTCCCCCTTCCACTCCTCAGACGACATGTCCATCCTGGGCCTCCTGGAGTGCCACAACGATGCCACCCGAAGGTTGCAGGAACAGCACCTCATATTTCGCTTGGGAACCCTGCAGCCCAATGGTATCAATGTGGACTTCACAAGCTTCAAAATCTCCCCTCCCTCAACCACATCCCAAAGCCAGCACAGCTCGTAACCACCTCCCTAACCTGTCCTTCCTCCCACCTATCACCTCCTCCCACCTCAAGCCCCACCCCCACCTCCTACCTACCAGCCTCATCCCACCTCCTTGTCCTGTCCATCCTCCCTGGACTGACCTATTCCCTCCCTAACTCCCCACCTACACTCACCTTTACTGGCTCCATCTCCGCCTCTCTGACCTGTCCGTCTCCTCTCCACCTATCTGCTCCTTTATCCATCTTCTATCCGCCTCCCCCTCTCTCCCTATTTATTTCAGAATCCCCTTCCCCTTCCAGTTATAATCACGTGATCGTGAATCTAGGGGAGATGAGGATCTCATGGAATTATTGCTAGACTATTAATCCAGAGACACTCTGGGAACCTGAGTTCGAATCCCACCATGGGAAATTTGGATTCAATAAAAATCTGGAATTAAGAATCTAATGATGACCACAAAACTGTTGTCAATTATTGAAAAAACCCACCTGGTTCACTAATGAAAAGAAACTGCCACCTTTACCTGGTCTAATTTACATGTGACTCCAGACCGACAGCAATGTGATTGACCCTCTGGGCAATCAGGGATGGAGAATAAATGCTGGCCTAGTCAGTGATGCCCAAATCCTGTGAATGACTTTAAAAAAAAAAATATGAAGGGAAAAGGGGAACGCATCATTGGATGTGAGGGACTGGGTCCATTTGGGAAGCTTCTACTGGTGTAACTAAACCTGTAGCCTATACTCCTAGCAGAGTGACTGTGTATGGTGCCTAAAGAGCCAGATATGTTCATCTCCTTCAGCTTCACCAAACCCTGAGCACTCAAATTTCCACCAGTTCTGACCTTTGATGCTTCATTGGTTTTGAGCCTTCCATTACGGGCCACTCTACCTTCAAGTGCTGTGGCCCTGAACTCTCACCATCACTTCCTTCATGATGCTCCTTGAAGCCTATCTCTTTGACCAAGTCTCTGGTCCCCTGTTCCTTTATGACTTTACATGGCTTGATGTTGAATTTTGTTTGATTCTGCCCTGCAGGTTGCAGGGGTTGGGGGGAGCGATATTGTACTGGATGGAATGTGCCATATGAAGGCAAAAGGTTCTTGTTCTTCAGGATGGGCCTCTCAGAGCTTTCAGGAACTGCCTCTGGGTTTGCTGCTGATTCTGCAAGGAATTTCCTGCTGCTTCACCTTCCATGAGGTCACCAGTCCATTTCAGCAGAATGCCAGGTTCTGAATGGAGGTCTGTGTCAGTCAGTTCTCACTGCGACTCTTGTATTCCAGCAAAAAAAAACACCCCGCACTGGAGCTGTCCAAATGTCAGTCCCTGGATATTCCAGGGAATTGCTGAGTCTTGTGTACACAAGGTGTACAATGAGCCTTTGAGAACACGAGTGAGAGAGGGAGCCAAACAGAGGAGCTAGCTATTCTAACATCCTGCATTAATGAAAAACTTTGCTGCAAAAAGCAGTCAAATGCATTTCAGGCGTGGATGGCAGTTTCTTTCACTATAATAGCATAAACTGACATGGCAACCCTTGGCTCTATCCCATTAACCAGGGCTTGGAGGAAATAGAGAGAGATTTGAGACAAGATGGAAAGGGAGATTTGTATTTAGAACTGGCTGCTTTTAATTTAAGCAGATTCAATTGTAATTATTAAAGGAACATTTGTTGAATACTTGCAACAGAAAAAGTTGCAGAGTTTTGTGAATTTAAACCAACTGGATACAACATTTAAAGGGTTGGTAAGGGACTGATAGAACAAATGGTCTCCTTCCCTCTTGTAATTTATGACAGAGAAAGTGGAAATGAGAAAGAGGATGTAAAAAGTTTAGAAGCTAAAGGTGTTGGGGGAAAGAGTTAGGGAGAAAGGACAAGAGGGGCATGGGGAAGGAAAGACAGGAGGATCATTCAGGATGAAGAGAAAGACAATTTGGAGATGACAGTATGTGGGTGAGGTAGAGAAGAGAAACGGAAAGGAAGGGAAGAAGTGGTGGCACAGTGGTTAGCACTGCTACCTCACAGCGCCAGGGACCCAGGTTTGATTCCACCCTCGGGTGACTGTCTGTGTGGAGTTTGCACATTCTCCCTGCGTCTGTGTGGGTTTCCTCCGGGTGCTCCAGTTTCCTCCCACAGTCCAAAGATGTGCAGGCTAGGTGGATTGGCCATGCTAAATTGCCCATAGTGTTCTGGGATGTGTAGAGTAGGGGGTGGGTCTGGAGATTGGTGTGGACTTGTTGGACTGAAGGGCCTGTTCTCTGTAGGGATTCTACGAAGTAAAGCTGAATATTGCAAGTAGGGAAGAGACTGAGAAAGGGATAAATGGAAGGAGAGTGAAATGGGATAAGACTGGGATGGAGGGTGGGGAGCGGTTGAGATTGTGTGAGAAAGGGGAAAAGAGAACGGGGGCAAAAAAAATCCCTGGGAGTGAGAATGAAAGCAGCAGCAGAGGAAAAATAAGTGAGGAGAGCAGAATGGTTTGAGGGAATGCTTTGTCAGAAGGAGGAGTGAGGCAGAGAGAGAAAACATGAAATGGGAGAAGAATGTGAAGAAGGTATGGAGAATGAAATGAAGAGAAGAGACAGTGATGATTGGAGAAAACAAAGGGATATGGTGTAAAGACAAGAGCTTGAGGACAAGAAAGAAAGTGACAGAGAGAGAGAGAGGTAGAGAAAAGGTGAAGGAGTAGGAGAGGAGATAAAGGCATTCTTCATCAAACACAGAAAATGATTTAATTTCAGTCAGACCTGGTGCCAGGACAGTAAATACGGTGACATGGTCATGTTGATTATTGGTAGGTCCACGCTGACTCCCCCAGTCTGTTGTGAAATGGCTCCAACCTCAGGACCATCTTTTATTAAAATCTCTCTACCATGTTTCTCATTTTCAACAGTGACTGCAGTTTGAAAGTGTTTACTTGACTGTGAAACGTCAGGACAGTGCAATGTCATGATAGCAGAGCAGGAATACCTGGTTAATAATCTGGAGAATGAAGGCAAATTCCAACATGGCAACTAGGAAATTTAAACCAATCATCAAGACATCCGGGTTACTGTAAAAGTCCACCTTGTTTCCGAACCTCCCCTTCATATAACTCTAGAACCACAGCAATGTGGTTTACATTTAATGACCAATCAGTCGGATTTGAAGGATAATTAGGGATGGGGAATAAATGCTGAGGCTTCCAGAAATGTCCATATCCTGTGAATGAATAAAGAATTTGTACATGCATTCTAAAGCACTTACAACACGCACGCGCGCACACACACACACACACATTCACACACGCAAACACACTCACACACACACACACACGCACACATTCACACACGCAAACACACTCACTCACACACACACACACACACGCACATATTCACACACGCAAACACACTCACACACACACGCTCACACACACATAGACACACACATTCACACACACACAGACACTCTCACAGACACACACACACACATTCACACAGACACACAGACACTCTTACAGACACACACACACATTCACACAGACACACATTCACACACACACACATTCACATACACATACACACTCTCACAGACACACACACACACACACACACACACACACACACACGCATGCACTCACACACACACATGTACATACACATACACACACACACACACACAGAAATACATGCACACACACGGAAACACAAACACGAACTGTAGTGATTGTAAC